AAACGATGTAAGCCAAGAAAAGGGCGAAAACGTACACAACCAGCAGAGCAGGCTTATCCAATATACCCAATCCAGTGGGCATGTGATAGGCGATCTAAGTCAATGACAGCGCCGTTCCACAATGAGAGGACGCCCACCTGAATTTTGGTATTAAGAGCATCCCTCTCTGGCACGATCAACCCAGATGAGACTATACGGACGAGTCTCCTCGGTGTAGTAAAGTCCAACCACGAGTATCTCCCCTCAGGAATGTACTCAAATGTTCCAAGGCCAGCTGGAGAGTTAATTCTGATCCCTGTAGCTCCTGCCGGTAGAACGACCTGTCAGACTCACTCTAATTCGCACTACCACGCGAATCCGACCCCACCTCGAGAACTTGTTCCTGAGCAAAGACCCTCACAAAAGGCTGGTTGAATGCCACATTGAGCACGTACTGATGACTGTCACTAGACGACACCTGAACTCAGGAGGCAATTCTACGTCGCTACAGGACATGGTCATACCTTCAGAGCAGTCTTAGATGGTAGCGCATAGGAGAATTCGAATTCGTCCTTCCATCCTCCAAGCATAGGAAACCTAGCAATCACCATACCATCCCTTCCCCTCATCACGATACTACCTAGGCGACAACTGCACCGACACATACTTCTTGCCCTCTCTTCGGGCATGCGTAGCTACATGGAGGAACACTCACACAAGAGTGCGAGCAATAGTGGCTTCTTACAAGAAACATTCCCAATAGCATCCCTGTAGTTGATATTGCGCACTGACCTCGGCAGGATCGCCTCTATCTCATTCACACATGACTTCACCTTGTAGGGGTTCTCTCTGAGATACACAGGATCATATATGCCTGTTCAACTTCTCCTATACTCGATTGTTTCACACTCGAACAAGTATAAAACCATCGAATTGAATCCCATGTACCGTAGTCACCCCAGTGTTCGAATATATGTTCGCTTTCCTCACATGAGCTCAGGAGTTCACATAAGAATTCGAGTGGAACTGTACAGAAACCAATAAGAACTTTCCAAAATTTCCTCAGAATGATCATATTGTCACCAACACATTCACTCGACAATATCCATATTTCCCCACACTGTATTACCCGCTGCTCCCCCATTTGTCAATACTAAAGGGTATCCTAGAGAACTCCCCTCCCAACCTAGCGGCTTCATTAACCAGCTCGAACTGGCCCGTCACGGACACACTACCTGCACGTACGACCCTATGGATGAGGAATACGGCGACAAGGCAACCCACCCCAATGAGAAACCTCTACCACTCTAGAGCTCTTGGCAAAGTAGGGCAGAGGGAAGGGATGGGAAACATGAACGTGTATTAGGTCTGGAAGTCCCCTGACAGCAGTAAATCCAATATTCTCAGTTCGGTCCTGTTCCCAATCCTATGCACGCCTACTCGTAAGGCTTGATATCGTTGTATGGTCCATAGGTAATCGATTTTCCCTTCACCTTTGCTGAACCCTCCGGCAAAACCCGTCTGAGGAGAAGAATTCCACCTCCCGCTCCATTCGCGACGAAACCCACTCAATTTTCTCTTCGCTCATTAGCCTGATAGTAGTAGTCTCCTTAAGTGTAGGATAGGGAGAGGGCCAATACACAGCATCAACATACCTGTGACCAGACAGCTATCATCACACAACACCCCAGAAACCAAGAGCTTACTCAACCTTCTGGATCTCCAATTCCAGTATCTCCTCAGGTAAGGGCCTATACATTCTACCAAATACCATGTGCACGTTAAGTGAAGCCTTATCTGTCACAATGCACCCCTTCCTCCATATCGGTAAATCATTGCTTACTCATAGCCTCCGGTAGAGTCACTTTCAAATACCTGTCCTCTCCGAACAGGCCAAAGTCCTCCACGACCAAGTTCTTCCCAGATTCATTTTCCACCACCTAATATACCCAAATTCTACATGACTACTAGTCTCCTCCAACTTACCGAGACATATCCCAGACCTTGAAAAAAACTAACCTTATGGTGCCCCAAGGGCTGATTGGGTAGCTTTAGAAAAGCGTAGTCCATCGGCCCCGTACACATCGAGCAATCGAGCTCAACATTCACAGTCACCTTCACTGTGCTCGGCTGAAAGATCTAACAGAATTGATATCATCAACTTGAAAATCGTTGGAGGAAAATTCTCACTATCTCCCGAGACACTTCCAGGTTCCTCCAGTCCCCAACTATAATTCCACGAGGGCTGGCTACTACTCCCCATAAGATGAATGATACCAAGAAGGCGAGCCTCTCGATGATGCTGGTGGAAACCATATCAAAACGGAGCTGACCGAGAGAACCAAAATACCTGATTCCTCCCATCGGAATAATAACACAACAGCTCACCAAGTACACGTGAATAGAAGACGTTGGTAAATCCAAAGGAGCATACCCTAGCCCTTAGGGGCACCTCCCAACCGCTGGCGCACATTACTGAGGAGTGCCTCATACACCATACTAGAAAGAGGCCGCTTGGTCTTCTTAACCCGAGCCACGTCTCGATCACTCTCTGACTGACAGCCCTTTAGGGCAGCTGGGTCGACCGGCTCTGTTAACGAGTACACCCCCCTGAAGAGAGTACACACCATCCCAACAGCCCCACACTGATCGACACTACTTCTTCTCTCGCTTTAGGCACACCTCCAACATTGATAGTTTTTCCTGGTATTCCGGTATGTCCTCCACGACTGGCTTCATCTGCTCCAGCTTATCCATAGTGACGGCCTTCTCCTCTCGCAACTACACCATAGTAAACTACCTCAATACACGAAGGGATATTCAAACTGACCATATCCTTAAAATGCTTCACTTGCTTCCCCACAAGGATAGTACTACTACACCCCTCCCTTCCAGCCCGACCAGCCCGACCACAGCGATGGATATACCTAAACACATATACTCCCTATTGCAGCCTTTCCCAAAGCCACATGTACCCCTGGACGTTATTCGGGACATCATATTGTAGGACATGGTCAACCTCTCGGAAGTCCAAGCCTCTGGCTGCCACATCACTACACACCAGTACCTATACCACACCTCGCCCAACCTTCGAATCCCCAATGAACCCCCTCTTACATGAATCCGACCAGTCCGGAAGGCCTCAAGTAAGCGTACCCGCTGCTTCTGGTTCAGTGCTGCACTGAACTCCCTTATCTATAGAGTACAACTACCACATCTCATCGACACCATATCCCCTCACCTTTATTCCTTCCTTTATATTCTCATTTCCAACCACATATATCTGCAACAACCTAGCCAATCGATGTGCATGCTCCACAGAGCCACAGAAGATCATAGTGCGGCTAGTGGCCTCGGACGCAGTAGGAGGGTAAATTTCACCAAGTATCGATACCAGGACCCCAGGTTTCTTCTGCTCCGCTCGGGCGACCACGAACCTAGAGGGCACTGTAGGGCACCCATTCACCCCTACTTCCATCCCACCTGTGTCGGAGGTTCTCCGGCGTAGCATGAGCCCCAGTCTGAGTGCCCAAGAGGAAGAACGGTCGGCTGAGCGCCAGCTGGGCTAGCTTCTGCGGATTCGACGTCATAGTAGCCGAGAACAGCATACGCTGACACCGAGGGGAAGCTTCCATCACTCGGCGCACCTAAGGGAGCTCCTCAATCGCCTCATCGGACCCTAAGGGGCCTAACCCACCACTTCCACTGTCGCTTCTCTACTTGAATTCAACAGCCTATCAGCCTCATCCAGGACCATCCATCTAATACCATCAACAGGTACTCGTTCACCCGTGATCAGGTCCAAGGCCCTTGAAGGCGTAGCGACCAGCACATCTGGACCTAACCAGACCTCATCCAACACCGCAAGCACCAACACCTCACCAGCCGATGATCCATCCTCTTCAGCAAAGGTTTGGGCATGGTACTGTCCCACCACACAGTCAACTCTAAAGCTGTCCTTACCCCCCGTAAAGTGGTCGGCCACCTCCTTCACCTGCAGGGCCAAGTCCCGTGTAGGCGCGAGGACCAGGGCACGAAGGGTCTGGTACTTCCGATGAGACAGTAGTTGGAATATCTAAGGGCCGCTATAGCATTCATAAGATGCTATCCATCATCCTTACAGGTAAGAGGTAGCCCAACGTCTTCCCCTGCCCAGTTGGCACTGCCACACATAGGTCACAATCGTACCTTATACAAGTCCTCCCCGCCATCCAACTTGGTGAAAAATTCCCTTACCTGCTTCCCACCGGCGTCCTCACCCTTCCAAGAACGATCGGTAAGACCGTAGCCTGTACCGGGAAGAGGCGACTGATGCCCATACCCTTCAGTGCTTTCCGGCACGTCTTCGAGAGCTCGAACTCAGTCACAGAAGGACAGTCTTCAATACTCGACAGGTGCGAACTTACGACCTAATACCGATCCCTCGACTATCCCTAAAACCGCCCATAGTCCTCGACTACGCTAAAACGCTTAGTCCAGTCGGGCCCTTTAACGATAGGCTTATCCTCATCAGCTTGAAGTAGGCCTTCCTTCACAGCTTCCTCGGAGGCCTTAACGGTCTCTATATCTGGATTCAGTGCCCGACGCACGGCCGACAAGGCATCGGTCATGGACTGGGTCGACTTTACCCCTGACGCCATTCCGGAGGCAAAACTAAGAGAGGCTGATAGCATTGAACACTACTACTCAATAGCCGAGGCATACGTGAGGAAATGTGTGTGTGCACAGTCGACTACTCGGAAGGTACTTCCGTGAAGGGATTGTCGATCTCAGCAACACCCGCGGTTGGGCACACCAGCACCACCGACGTGCCTCGTGCTACTAGCAAACCTGAGGACCAGGATGTGTTAAGAAAGAGGTAGAAGTCGTACCCAAGTTTCGGGTCTTCCCCGATGGCTTGTACGGGTCTTCTGGATCTCTCAGGTACTCGATGCTCTCATCAAGAACGAGATTTGGGACTGGATCGAAGCCCTTCAAAACACCACTAACTGAAAGGGGCCTGCTATACTCGGGTGGCTCGACTGCTACCTTCACGTCCTCCTGTGAGCTTGACAGTAACACGTTGATGCATTAACCGTTCTAGGTCGATCACAGAAGGCCTTATAGAACTACGACGATGGTCTCCTGTATAGACGTACTGACCATAGACATCAACCAACCCTCCCACTACCTCCTCGTCCGCCACCCTTCCCTTTACCACCGCGATAGCCTTTCCCTTTCCCGTGGTGTTCTGACATTACACCTTTAACAATAGTAACAACGCTCCGACAACATCGCTGAGGAAATTCAAGATTGCAAGAAAGTTCAAGAGAGGCCCTAAAGACTCCTCTCGTAGAGCTCTTAAGCTCGTGGCTATTCTTAACACCACATTTAGTTTTTCGACTCCTATTTGGGTATGTGCGGCATATTGGCGGTATTCGGCCTTAAGGAGGATGCTGAGATATTCAGACCAACAGGATTGCAGTTATCCAAGTAGTAACGACGATACCGGACTCACCTTGGGAGTAAGCATGTCATCACTCGTAGGCGCATTCGTCATCGCGGTCCGGATTGGAGCTCCTGCTACTGCCATAAGGACGTCTTCATCGCCCATGAGAGACTAGCGATAGTCGACGTAGAGTCCGGTGCTCAGCCTTTGTACAACAAGGATCACACGACTGTAGGCTAGCTTCTGGACCGGGAGGTCACTCCTTAAACGATGGGGCCTACAGGTACTGGCTGTTAACGGGGAGATATACAACTACCAACCTATTCGGGAACAGCTTATCAAGGAGGGGTTTGAGTTCGCCAGCGGCAGTGACTGTGAGGTTATGCTCCACATGTAATACGACGTTGATGACTTGGCCTTGGGGGATGCCCTAGTGTACAGGTACGACCGTGGGGACTCAATGGAAGACCTCCTCAACCAGCTACGTGGTATGTTCGCTTTCGTTATCTATGACGCTACAAGCGGTCGTTATGTTGCTGCTAGAGACCATGTAGGAGTGTTGCTGTAAGGAGAGGCGGTTTACTATTGGTCGTTTAGATTGGTATCATTCCCCTGTATATCGGCTGGGGTCCTGATGGTGAGGTCTATTTCGCCAGTGAGATGAAAGCTCTCAGTGACCGATGCACCAACTACAAGCAGTTCCCTCCAGGACACTACTACGACTCAGTCAAGCATGGTAGGTCTTCGAAAAGCAACTGTGGAGAGTCAAATCCATCCCATATAGGCATTCACAAGTTCGAGAGATGGTATAACCCTTCCTGGAGACTCGAGATTCCCACCCAAAGGCCGACCCCTGAGGAACTTCGTACAGCTTTGGTGAACTCAGTAGAGTCCCATATGATGGCCGATGTCCCCTATGGAGTGCTCCTGTCGGGTGGTCTCGACTCTAGCCTCGTAGCCAGTATTGCCTCTCGTATTCGTATGCGACAGGCTTGTGGTGATGATGAGGATTACTGTAGGAAACTAAGAAAATCTGGCAAACTCCCCAAGATAGCACGACTGAGGTAGGCGTCTATCGAGTGTTATGAGTACGTGATACGGTCCTCAGG